TTTAGAACTTATCTGAAATATTTGGAGAATTTTTAAAGCTATCTTTTTGTCATTGTTTTTAGCTTAACTACACTGCGCTCAAAAATTACATTCCACATTTGAAAATAATGCATACTCTGAAATAGCTGGAGTGTTTTACATGGATCAATTAAGCCAAGTTTGCTGACTGTATTTTTAAGATCTTCTATATCCTGCTGATTTTCAGAATTTATTGGTAACTTAATAAGAGATATTAGAACTTATCAGTTTTTTTTAAAAGTACAATGTTAAGAGAATAAAAGGGCAAGCCAAGAATGAGAGAAAATATTTTGAAATCACATATCCAATAAAAACCATGTATCTAGAACACATAAACAGTTCTCAAAACACAAGAGTAAGAAAAGAAACAATGGACAAAACACATGAACAGACATTCCTCAAAGAAAATAGCATGTGCAATATCATTAGTCATTAGGAAAATGCCAAGTAAAGCCATGATGAGGGGTGGTGAACACACGATACAGTGTACAGAGGACGTGTTGTGGATTTGTGCAGCTGAAACACGTAACATTTTGTTAAACAGTGCTACCCCAATAAATTCAATAAAAAAGAAAAAGAGAGAAAAGCTTAAAAAGAAATAAAACCAAACACTACCACATGCTAAAAAGGATATGAAACAGTTGGAATTTGCAAATATTGCTCGTGGGGACACAAAGTGGTTCAATTACTCTAGAAAATAGTTTAGTGATTTGATATAAAGCTAATTATGCACTTATCTATCATATGGATTCAGAAATCCTACTCTGTGGTTTTTACCTTATAGAAATAAAAACTTAAATTTCATACAGAAACCTGTAAATAGGTGTTTGTAAAACATAATGTAATAATATACTGGAAACAATCCAGATATCCTTCAAAGGGTGACTAAATAAACAAACCATGGTACATCTATATAATGAGATACTACTCAACAATAAAAGGAATGGCCTACTATTGATATACACAATAACTTGGATAAATCTCAAATGCATTACTGGAAATACAAGTAGCCCATTTCAAAAGAAACACAATATAGAATTCCATTCTATAAGACACTTTGGAAATGACAAAACTAGAGTCAGAAAATAGACTAGTGTTTGCCAGGAATCAGGTATAATTAGAAGGTTGGGCTATAAGGGGCAGCATAAGTCAGAATTTTGGGGGGTGATGAAACTGTTCTGCATTCTAATAACAACTGTGGTTACATGGACCTATATGTGTGTTAAAATGCATACAAGTGAGCACCACACACACACACACACACACACACACCCACACACACTCACACACATTTACTTTAAGTAAAAAAAAAAAGTATCTCCCTCCTCCGTCTCCCAAATCCCTTTCTCTTTTCATCTTGAGGTTGTCATTCATTCTTTACTTCTTCTACCCTCTCCCCTTACTCATACAGTCTTCTAAGCATATAAACAATTTTTACTTTCTCAAATATTCCATGTTCTCTGATGATTTCATCTTTATTCATGCTGATGGCTCTAGAGTAAAAACCACTCTCTCTGCTATTCTTATTCAGTCTTCTGGCTTCAGTATATTATTTCTTCTCAGAAAGCTTCTGTACCTTTTGGTCCCATATTCTTGGCATATGATCCCATACTACCAGTATTCTGTACTTTCCCCTTCATATTCTCACATGCACGTATTTAATTGTTAACATATATTCCATTTCTTTCTCCTCCACTACACTGTGAACTACATAAGGGCAGAGCTAACTGATGTTTTATGCACTAAATAACCTTTAGCACCAACACTGTGCAAGGCACATAACACAGCCACCACAATGAATGCAGTAGAACTTATTTGTATTTTGCAGATTGCTACAAGTAACTTGGTTCTCGGCAGACAGAAAATATCTTACCTGCACTTAAAAATAAAATGTCTCAAACACTTCTGTTTGCGATATTCAATTAAAATGTAAGTGTTCTATTATTGTAATCTCTCCCCTCTACCTTTTTGTTCCTGATGCTGCAAAATTTCCCTTCATTCACTGAACATTTGCACATTTTGTTTTTAAGTTCTCTGTAACCACGAACAACAGAAACAACATTTCCTAGCTTTTTTATAATTTGACTGTACAAAATAGGTTTCTGAATGACTGACCATTCAAAATTTAAATTACATTAATCTGGCACACATAAATTACATTTATGACTTTCTGAGGGAAAGTTGTGCAATCTAATAATTTAAATAACAAAAAAATCTGACTTTAAATAAATAAACAAACAACAATATGTGTGAGATCCAGCCATGTCACTTAAAAAAGGAATGTACAAAGCTTCTGTATGGCAAAAGAAACCTCCAACAAAACAAAAAGACAGCCAACCTAATGGAAGAAGATACTTGCAAATAATAGCTCCAGTAAGGGGTTAATATCCAAAATATATATAAAGAACCCATATAACTCAACACCAAAAAAACCCTAAAAATCCAATTAAAGAATGAAAGGACCTGAACAGACACTTCTCTCATGAAAACATACAAATGGCCGACAAATATATGAAAACATGCTCAACTTCACTATCTATTAGGGAAATAAAAATGCAAACCACAGTGAGATACCACCTCGTACCTGTTAGAATGGCTATTATCAACAAGACAAGTAATAACAAGTGTTGGAGAGGTTGTGGAGAAAAAAGAACCATAATATACTGCTGGTAGGAATGTAAACCGATACAGCTACTACAGAAAACAGTATGGAGGTTCCTCAAAAAATCAAAAATAGAGTTACAATATTACCCAGAAATCATTCTTCTGGTATCTATTTGAAAAATTTGAAAACATTTATTCACAAAGACATATGCACCCCTGAATGTTCACTGAAGCATTACTTACAGTGGCCAAGACATGGAACCAACCAAAGTGTGCTTCGATAGATGGCTGGATAAAGAAGATGTGATACATATATATACTATGGAATACTACTTAGCTGTAAGAAAAGATGAAATACTGCCATTTGTGAGATGGATGGAACTTGATGATATTATGCTAAGTGAAGTCAGAAAAAGTTAAAAACCAGATGATTTCACTAAAAAGTGAAATATATAGTGGTTACTAGAGGGAAGTGAGGAGTGGGAGGTAGTAAAGGGGGCAAAATATATGGTTACAGAAGATGATTTGGCTTTGGGTGGTGGGCACACAATGCAATACATAGATTATGTATCATAGAAATGTACACTTGAAACCTATATAATCTTATTAACTACTTTTACCCTAATAAACTTAAGAGAAAGAAAAAAGGAAAGTAGTCTAATATTCTTTGTATTTCATTGACAGCAGTTACAGATAACAAACAGCAGTCTAAACTACCTTTAGAAAAGAGATAAGCCTTAAAATGACTAAAAGTAGCTATCTTTTTCTTGTTAACCATAGTTTAGTTCAGATATGAAATTTCTATTGATTTTAAACTTTATTATAATAAAAAACAAAATTTTGTTGCACAAATACTGACCACTACGTTATATTTTAGAGAACTATGTTCAAAGGCAATAGTCCTCCAAAAGGAGGGAAGGTGAAGAGGTGCATTTTAAATAAAACAGACAATTCAGCCCTGGCTGGCACAGCTCAGTGAATTGAGCACAGACCTGTGCATCAGAGGGTCACTGGTTCAATTCCCAGTCAGGGCACATGCCTAAGTTGCAGGCCAGGTGCCCCATAGGGGGCATGTGACAGGCAACCACACACTGAAGTTTCTCTCCCTCTCTTTCTCCTTCCCTCCTTTCTCTCTGAAAAAATAAATAAAATATTAAAAGAAAAATCCCAGAAAGTTCAAGAGAGACTTATAGATTTCAAATGGCATTAGACAGATTTCCGAGTCACAAGCACTCAGAATTACCAGATAGAGTTATGTGATGAAAGCAAGTTACTCTGTTCTTTAAAGGAGAGATCAACACAAGCACTGAGAAATGTAAGAATTAGTGCTCTTCTCAGAACACAGCCAGGTGAGGCCTTAAACAATAAAACCATTACATGAAATAGAACTTAAGCATTCTCAAACTGTTATTTGTGTATATCTATAAATTAAAATCAATTAAAAATATATAACTAAACAAAACTCCCTTTCAGGCTGCTATCCTTATTAGGCTTGGCAATTTGTTCCAAGAGAACAAAAAACCTGTAACAAACTTAACCGATGATTTCCTATAATTCCACTTTTCACTGGTTATGGAGAATAGCTATATATACTCCAAGTACTTCTAAAGGAGCATAACACCACTTGGTAAAGAGAAATCTAAGGGTAGAGACACATAAACAAAGGATAGCTACTCACACACATGCTTATGGAAGGAGGACAATAGTCTTTCAGAAGCAGCCAAGTATGACACAATGAAAAAAATGTTAGAGTGTTCTTTAAGAAGCCAGTGACTATAAATCCCATCTTGATAAAGGGATTTGGGGAGAAACAGCCAAAATATATTGTTTCATTTTGTGCTTTATAAATAAAAATTTTTAATGTCACTAAATGAAGAAAATAAAAAACATGAAGTGAGTTGAAAACATCTTTTATGATAATGCTTATCACAAAAGTTAAATATACAAAAAACTACTTTTCCTATAACTAAATCTTTATTTTGTAAAATAAATTCTAAAGGTACTGTCTCCAATAGTCTGCAAAAATTATCTTTATAACATAAACCAGATACCTTAGGAAAAATAAAATGAAAAATCTATTTCAATCATTTTTCTCATCAAGTATTGAATCTTGAATGTGAAAATATGTATTCTCAAAGGAAATTTTTAGTACAACTACCATATTTTGCTGTGTATAATGCCCACTTTTTGCCCAAATTTTTGAGGTAAAATAAGAATGCACATTACACATGGGCATAATGATTACATACCATGGGGCATAATCCCATGTATAATGCACACAAAAACCATGGCTGTGCATTTCTTACCTAATGATATCAGGATACTACTGAGTGCTACAAACTAACTCAACACCATCAAAGCACTTACCCTTCACTTACCCTTGCATAGTGGAATTCAACTCCATAGAGTTCCAATGTACGTGCTTTGTTCAGGTAATTAAATTCTGCTTCTGCAGGAGATAAGCCTCTGTAATGAAATCATTTGGTTAAAAAGTATATCAATCACAAACATGTCCAAATTATAAAAAGGTTATTTATCTTGAAATTTTTCAGCATCCTAAATAAATATTTTATGAAACACCATGCATGACTACTCCACTTAGTTACATATGGTAACATCTAACTTACCTCGAGAGTACATTTTCAACAACACAAATTATTCCTTTGTAAAATATTTTCTTATTTTTGAGACTATAAAAATGCATCAAATTTTAAAAGTCTGTAGCTGTTCTTATAGCTGTCAGAAATCACTCATCCTGAGACATAAGTAGTGTTTTTCAAAATTTGGTCTATATACCATATCTGCATTTAAATCACACAGACTGCTTCTGAAAACGTGTGGATTCCAAGAAAACCTCCAAGCAGTGTTTCTCAGAGAACAGTGCACAGATGGATATTGACTCATAATAAATACAGAAAATGAGAGTGTTAGAGTCTTTTATAGGAACTTGGTAATTTTATGTCTGCTGAATCTAACAATTACAAAAAGCCTTGTAATTTTTTATATCTGTTCATTTTTCCATTTTACTTTTCTATTAATTCATTTTTGTATTTTTTAGAAGCATTGTTCCATGACAGATTAGGAAGAAATTGGTTTTTCAAAAAGATAGTTTCAGAAGTACTGTTTTATAGTTTGATAATAGAATGAATGGGGTCCAAATTGCTTATGTTTAAGAAATATCCCAGTTGATTCTTATGAACAGAAGCTTTAGAACTATGCAAAGCATTTAAAATTGATTTACTCCTACCCAATATACTGTTCTAACAACCTTAGTGATCTGTTATTATCAGACTTCAGTTAAGCAAAAGCAGCAAATAACAAAATCAAAGATATAAATCTTTCATTCACTAATGATACTTAAAAAAAAAGAAGCCAACACCCTACCAATGCATAATTACTAGTATTCCTTTAAACGGATTCCTTAAAAAAAAAAAAGTAAAAAAGCACATATACTTCAACTACCCATAAAATTCAGTTAGGTTAAATATTCTACCTTTGTCACCCCATCCCCAGTTACCTTTGTTACCCCATCCCCAGTTAAACTACATAATTCTCTTTTTTTCTTTGTTTAAAGACTTAAAGAATTATTTCTTTAAACCAAACACAAATATATAATCAATATCTTGTCAAATGTATAATCCTTTTCATTGCAGAAGAGACTTTTTATTAGTAGTAAATTTTTCATAAATTGGGTTTATCTTCAAATTCTTGATTCAGACATTATAAGTGACATTTACTTTTATACCAAAATAGCCCCCTCACAATATCAGGCCAGCTTTAAAATTCTTTTTTTTTAATTGTTGTAACAACTTTATTTGTAATGGCCAAAAACTGGAAGCAACCAAAAAGTCTCTCAACAACCAATGGCTGAACCAGCTGTAGCACACCCATACTGTGGATCTACTCAACAATTACAAAGAATGAATTATTAATACAGAAAACTTGGATAAATCTCAAAAAGGCAGTATGCTAAGTGGGAAAAAAAATCTCAAATGTCACATACTATGAGATGCCATTTATATAACAGTCTCTAAGTGAAAAAATTATAGACATGGAAGAGAGATGACTTGTTATCAGGGTTTGGGGATGGAGGGAAGCAGAGAGGAAGAGAGGAGGTGTACTTAACTACCAGAGGGTCCCAGCAGTGGTTATATAAGTCCCCACATGTGATAAAATGACATAGAACAATATACAATGTACCAATGTCAATATATACCATGATTGTGTAAGGTGTAAACACTGGGGGAAACTGGGAGAAATGGACATGGGTCCTCTCCACACTCACTTTTCAACTTCCTGAGTCTATAACCAATTTTAAGAAACTTTTTGTTTTTTCAAATATAAGAACAGTTGGTTATTTTCTTTTTTTAATTTTATGAGAGAGATCACTTTTAATTTTCATTTTTAATTTTAGTTCTTTAAAAAATATTTTATTGATTATGCTATTATAGTTGTCCCATTTCCCCCTTCATTCCTCTCTACTCTACACACCCTTTCCTGCCAACATTCCCCCCTTTAGTTCATGTCCATGTGTCATACTTGTAAATTCTTTAGCTTTTACATTTCCCATACTGTTCTTACCCTCCCCCTATTTTCTTTCTCCCATCTATGATACTTATTCTCTGTACTTTTCCCCCTCTCTCCTCCTCCTACTCCCCTGTTAATAACCCTCCATGTGATCTCCAGTTTTGTGGTTCTGTTCCTGTTCTAGTTGTTGGCTTAGTGTGTTTTTGTTTTAGGTGTGGTTGTTAATTGTGAGTTTGCTGTCATTTTAATATACGTGTTTTTTATCTTCTTTTTCTTAGATAAGCCCCTTTAATATTTCATATAATAAGGGCTTGGTGATGATGAACTCCTTTAACTTGCCCTTATCTTAAAAAGTACTTTATCTCTCCTTCCATTTTAAATGAAAGCTTTGCTGGATAGAGCATTCTTGGATGTAGGTCTTTGGATTTCATGAGTTGGAATACGTCTTTACAGCCTCTTCTTCCCTATAAGGTCTCTTTTGAGAAATCCGCTGACAGTCTGATGGGAACTCCTTTGTAGGTGACTGTCCCCTTAGCTCTTGCTGCTTCTAGGATTCTCTCCTTCATTTTTATCCTGGCTAATGTAATGATGATGTGCCTTGGTGTGTTCCTTCATGGGTCCAACTTCTTAGGGACTCTCTGAGCTTCCTGGATTTCCTGGAAATCTGTTTCCTTTGCTGGATGGGGGAGGTTCTCCCTTATTATTTATTCAAATAAGTTTTCCACTTGTTGCTCTTCCTCTTCTCCTTCTAGTACCCCTATAATTTGGATGTTGGAACATTCAGTGATGTCCTGGAGGTTCCTAAGCCTCTCCCTACTTTTTTGAATTCTTGTTTCTTCATTCTTTTCTGATTGGATGTTTCTTTCTTCCTTCTAGTCCACTCCATTGATCTCATGAGTCCCAGTTTCCTTCCCATCCCTATCGGTTCCCTGTACATTTTCCTTTATTTCACTTAGCGTAGCCTTCATTTTCCCATCTAATTTGCAACCAAATTCAACCAATTCTGTGAGCACCCTGATTACCAGTGGTTTGAACTGTGTATCTGATAGGTTGGCTACCTCTGTGTCACTTCGTTGTGTTTTTTCTGGAGCTTTGATCTGCTGTTTCATTTGGACCTTTTTTTGGTCTTGATGCAACTGTTACATAAGAGGGGCAGAGCCTTAGATATTCACCAGGGCGGGGCAACCCATGTCACTGGGTTGTGACACTGTATGTGGGGCAGGGGTCTGAGGGGGAACAATGGTGCTTGCTCAGCTCTGTGCTGGATTTTAGTCACTTCCCCCAAGCAAATCGGGACCTTCTAGTGCTGATTTCCATGTGGGTGGATTTGTGTACATTCTAGGACCCAGTGGGTCTCTCCAACAAACTCTCCTGTGAGGCTGGGAGTCTCTCCTAGTGCTTCAACCCCCCACAGGTGTTTTCAATCAGTGTTTTGAGGCTTTATTTCCCTGAGCTAGGACCCTGGGTTGTGCAGTATATCTCGCTTCCCACTTTTGCCTGGTTTATCTGAGTGCAAATGTGGGACCACCCGGTCTGCCAGTCACCTTGTGCACAGCACCCCTCCACAGTCTACTGCCTTGCATGCCTGGGGTCTACAAGCCACCTCTTTGCTGTGAGACCTCTCTGCCCTGGCTGCTGGACTCTGCCACTCCTACTGGTCTGGATGAATGTGTCTACTTTAATTCCTTGGTTGTTAGACTTACATACAGTTCAAATTTCTGTTGGTATTGGTTGGTTTTCATTTCTAAATTGTTGTTGTCCTTATTTTGGTTGTGTGAGGAGGCACAGTGTGTGTAGCTACGCCTCCATCTTGTCTGGAAGTCTAAAATTCTCATTCATTATTCTTATTCTAAATCAGGGGTCACAAACTTTTACTGGAAAGTGCTAAATAGTCAGTACTTTACGCTTTCAGGCCACATGGTCTGTGTGGCACTACTTCACTCTGCTGTTATGTGAAAGCAACCACAGACAAATGAGGGAATGTGTATTACAGTAAGTATTCATTTATGGACACAGAAATTGAAATTTCTCAAAACTCCACATGCCACGAAATGTTATTCTTTGGTTATTTTTTCCAACCATTTGAAACTTATAAACCATTCTTATTCCATGAGCCATACAAAACTAAGCAACGGCTATAGTTTACTAACCGGCTTTAGATACATGGGCCATTACCAAATGAAAGTAAGTTTCTTTTATAATAAGAGCTAAAATTTTTCAGTGCTTACCATGTGCTAGGCACTGTTCTGAATACTTTATATGTAAAAATCCTTACAGTAACTCCAGAGGTCCATAATTTTTCTTACTCCCTGTTTACATATAAAAAATGAGAGCAGAAGAGACATAGATAAATCTGGCCAAGGTTATAAGATAGTAAGTAACCTTACCAGAATTTCAATCCAGACAGTCTGGGTCAAGCTCACATTCTTAGACAATATGCAACTGCCTTAGTTCCTACATGATTATTTTGAATAGTATGTTAAAGCAAAACTGAACTCTGACCCAACAAACAATATTCCCTTCTATTCAAAACAATAGATATCTTCTTGGAAAAAATTATGTAACAAAGTCAGACTCACAATATATCAAAGCTGAACACTATAATGAGAGAAAAACTGCTTCTTCTTAAAGGGCAACTTTTAAAATTGTTTCCCTCCCACCACTCCTCCCCACCCTAGCCATCACTACCTTGCCCCCTCGAGCCTACCCCTCTTTGGCTTTATCCATGTGTCCTTTATTACACATGTTCCTGACAACCCTTTCCATTTTTCCCCCCATTATTCCCTCCCACCTCCCCTCTGGCTCAGATATTCCATGCAGCAATGTTTTCACTGATATGTCCACCAGAGCAAGAAACATAAAGAAAGAATAATCAAATGGTACTTCATCAAAATAAAAAGCTTCTGCCAGGCTAAAGAAAATATCAGCAAATACAAAGGGAATCAACCATATGAAAAAATATATTTGCAAATCATACCCCAGAGAAGCATTAGATCTCCAAACTACATAAAGAATGCATACAACTCCACTCCAGGAAGAGGAACATTCCCATTACAAAATGGGCAAAAGACCTTAACAGACCTTTGTTCAAGAGCCACATACAGAGGGCCCAGAGACATATGAAAAGATGCTCACCATCACTAGCCATTAGAGACATGCAAATTAAAACCACAATGATGTACCACTTTACACCAGTCAGAATGGCCATCATAACCAACAAACAAGTGCTGGAGAGGGTTGTGGAGAAAAGGGAACGCTAGTGCACTGTTGGTGAGAATGCAGAATGGTGCAGCCACTGTGGAAAACAGTGTGCAAATGCCTCAGAAAACTGAAAATGGAAATGCCTCTTGACCCGGAAATTCCACTTCTGGGATTATACTCTAAGAATCCTGAAACACCAATTTAAAAGAACCTATGCACCCCAATGTTCATAGCAGCACAATTTACAATAGCTAAGTGCTGGACCCAAACTTAAGTGCCCATCAGTAAATGACTGGATCAAAAAGCTATGGTACATTTACACAATGGAATACTACACAGCAGAAAGAAAGAATGAGCTTTTACCCTTTGCAACAGCATGGATGGAACTGGAGAGCATTATGCTAAGTGAAATAAGTCAGGTGGTAAAAGACAAATACTATATGATTGCACCTATAAGTAGAACCTAATCAACAAAACAAACAAGCAAGCAAAATATAACCAGAGACAATGAAAATAAAGAATGTGTTTATCAATTTAGTATTACATAAAGTTCCTTTTCTCCTCTTTCCTCGTTCGTTACTAAACAAAAACAATTTCTTTCACATGGATAAAACCTGAGAAAAAACTGCTAAATAGACTGTAACATATTGATATTCTAAAATTCTTGACAACTTTACATAATAACAGAGCTTTACATATATATTCCTGGCAACTTTATATTAAAAAAAAACCCTTTACAGTGCTCACTTCGGCAGCACATATACTAAAATTAGAACAATGGAAGATTAATATGACCCCCGAGCAACGATGACACACAAATTCTTGAAGCATTCCATATTTTTAAGGTGACTAAAAAAAAAAAAAACAGCCCTGGCTGGGGTAGCTCAGTGGATTGAGTGTGGGCCTGCAAACCAAACAAATGCAGTTCAATTCCCAGTCAGGGCACATGCCTGGGCTTCAGGCCAGTTCCCAGCAGGGGATACATGAGAGGCAACCATACATTGATATTTCTCTCCCTCTCTCCTTCCCTTCCCCTCTAAAAATAAATAAAATCTTTAAAAAAAAAAGAAAGAAAAACGGAAAACCCTTTACACACACACACACACACACACACACACACACACACACACAAGGGAATATACACACACACTTTACAAACAATAAAAAAGTTTAAGGGGCAAGCCAAGGAACACCAATAGAGGACTCATGGGCATGGACAATGGGTGGGGGGAGATTGCCTGTGGGAGTATGAGGTGGAGGGATGGGGCAGGGGAGAGCAACGCAAGGAAAAGTTGGGACAGCTGTAACTGAACAATAATAAAAACAAACAAAAACTTTATATAATGAATCTGGAAACCAAACATAATAGTGAATAAATTTCTGTTACATGTAGCTTTCTAGTTGTTTTTTTTTTTAATCTCATCTTACAAAGGCAATCTAATTTTTTCTTTCTTTTTTTAGAATAATTTTATTTAGTTATTGCTTTCTAGTTCTTAATAGAAATGAAAACAAGTCTCACAGAAAATAAATGATGATTTTTCTTTTACCTAGATCATCTACATTTTTTATAATAATATTATATTACATAATAGTAACTGTTCTACATTAAATAAATACAACATTCAAATTAAAATAATTTCAAACATTTCTCTAGAAAAGATGCAATTAAGTTTACCAAATAAGCAGAAAAGTAAACAAATCCTTACATATGTTGCTGATGTAATTTTGCAATTTCTTTTTTAAAATCTTGAGGTTGATTAGGAATGAAAGAATAATCTGAGAGGTAGCCTGGCAAATTTTCTGACTGATTGAAGTCTCCAAGTTCAGCTAATAAATGGAAGAAAAATACTCACTTTAATACATTTTTAAATTTCTACAGCCAAATCACCAATGTCATAAATTTCATTATATTTCCGGAAGTAAATATTTGTTTATGCTGTTACCATTTTAAAAAGTTATAATAATGCATATAACATTCTTCTAGATCTCAAACAACTTTAGATTACTAGTTCTGGAATCAAAGTAATTGCTAACTAATTGGATATTTCATTATATTTCCTCTGCAACAAATTTCTTCTGTATAATAACTTATTCCTAAAGGACTTATTTATTAAAGGCAATATATTATCAACACAAATAATGCAATTACACATGTTATTTGCCTCAAAAGTTGGCTGATACTGCCCTGACCAGTGTGGCTCAGTTGGTTGGGTGTCATTCCACAAAGCTAAAGTTTGCTGGTTTGATTCTTGAGGTCAAGGCACATGCGGGTTTGTGCCTGGGTTGCGGGTTTGGTTCCCTCGTGGGACACGTAGGAGAGGCAACTGATTGATGTTTCTCTCTCACGTCCATGTTTTTCTCCCTCTTTCTCCCTCCCTTCCCCTCTCTCTAAAAGTAAATAAGATCTTAAAAAAAAAGGGGGGGCTGATACTTACACTGAACAGCAAATGAAGCCAAAAGGGCAGCAGTATTATAAGGACAGGGCAATCTAACAAAACAAAACAGAAATACATACCCCAAATTTAAACACAATAATTTCAAAAGCACTATAATTTATATTATACTATTCACACTTGAAATTTCCTTGACTTATATTTTACATATTAAGCTATAAATTTGATGAAAAGAATTCATGTTTTATGTAACCATTTTTCTAGAGATTTTTAAAAGATCATGAATTACTTAAATAATATAGAATTAAAAGTATTCTTAAACTCCATTACTAAGAATTTAAAATAGCCCACCTTCCATTAAGTATATCTTGTTTAATTTGCAAAAAATACTGGTACCTTAAAAAAGAAAAGATAGTTAGCATTTACTATAATTATAACATTTAGAGATTAAAAACTGTATTACATGAACAAAATCAAAATATTAAGTTTTGAACCTATAATATACATATTAAAACATGAAAAGATTTTAAAATAAGCTTTCAAAAATTTATTAATCGAAGTTTAAAAATTTGTTGATAAATGATAATTTGTATTGCAAATATCTTGTTCCCACTAAATTCATTATAAAACTCCTAGTTTCTTAAGAGTTGCAAAATTGAGGGAGAAAATTAGAGAGAAATACTCTAAGAATTGGTGTGTATGCAGAATGTTATAGACCTGGGAAGCACAGCAAAGAGACACAACAGACAAGATGAAGAAAACCATTATTTCTGCTAACATAGGAGGTCAACTGCAAGGACAGGCCTATGTGTTGATTATCTTAATAGGCTGTAAGAAACTATTAATTATAGAAAAGAACCTTTCCATTTTCATTTGAGTTGAGAAAGTTCTCTTTGATCAGAAAAAAACCCAAACATGTAAGTTCCTTTCTCTACTATTGCTCTACTATTATTAGAATTACCAAGTACCCAACTTCCTTTAAAATCAACAAATATAAGAGTAACCTATAACAGGAATCCTGAGGTTGCTTACAAGATAGCATTGTCCTGTCCCTGGCTAGTGAGTGAAGTCACTTCCTCATAAATGTATCCAAGCTAATGATTTTGTAAGGCAAAATCAACTGTATTATTGCATATTCACTGAAGACCAAAATTTGTCGCTTTACATGTTTAAATAGAGAATTTACAGACTTTTATTTCAACCCACTAAAAAAAGTATACATAGTCAAAGAGACAAAAATCATGAAAATTTTAATAAATTTTTAAAATATATTTTATTGATTATGCTATTACATTTGTCCCATTCCCCCCCTTCGCTCCCCTCCACCCAGCATAACCCCCCTTTAGTTCATGTCCATGTGTCATACAAGTTCTTTGGCTTCTACTTTTCCTACACTATTCTTACCCACCACATGTCTATTTTCCATCTCCTATCTGTGATACTTATTCTCTGTACCTCTTCCCCCTCTCTCCTCCTTCCACTCCCCTGTTGATAACCCTCCATGTGATCTCCATTTTTGTGGTTCTGTTCCTGTTCTAGTTGTTGGCTTAGTTTGTTTTTGTTTTTGTTTTAGGTGTGGTTGTTAATAATTGTGAGTTTGCTGTCATTTTAATATATACAATACTTTACGTATAAATAAAATATTTAAATATAAATAATATAAATCTTCTAATATAAATAAAAAGGAGATAATGTTTTTTATCTTCTTTATCTTAGCTAAGTCCCTTTAACATTTCATATAATAAGGGCTTGGTGATGATGAACTCCTTGATCTTGAACTTATCTAAGAAGCACTTGATCTGCTCTTCCCATTCTAAATGAAAGCTTTGCTGGATAGAGCATTCTTGGATGTAGGTCTTTGGATTTCATGGCTTGGAATACTTCTTTCCAGCCCCTTCTTGCCTGTAAGGTCTCTTTTGAGAAATCTTCTGACAGTCTGATGGGAACTCCTTTGTAGGTGACTGTCCCCTTAGCTCTTGCTGCTTCTAGGATTCTCTCCTTCAGTTTTATCCTGGCTAATGTAATGATGATGTGCCTTGGTGCGTTCCTTCATGGGTCCAACTTCTTTGGGACTCTCTGAGCTTCCTGGATTTCCTGGAAGTCTATTTCCTTTGCCAGCTTGGGGAAGTTCTCCTTTATTACTTGTTCAAATATCTTTTCCACTTGTTGTTCTCCCTCTTCTCCTTCTGGCATCCCTATAATTTGGATGTTGAAACATTTAAAGATGTCCTGGAAGTTCCTAAGCCTCTCCTCATTTTTTTGAATTCTTGTTTCTTCATTCTTTTCTGATTGGATGTTTCTTTCTTCCTTCTGGTCCACTCCATTGATCTGAGTCCTAGTTTCCTTCCCGTCACTATCGGTTCCCTGTACATTTTCTTTTATTTCACTTAGTGTAGCCTTCATTTTTTCATTTAATTTGCGACCAAATTCAACCAATTCTGTGAGCATCCTGATCAGCAGTGCTTTGAACTGTGCATCTGATAGGTTGGCTACCTCTGTGTCACGTTGTTGTGTTTTTTCTGGAGCTTGGATCTGTTCTTTCATTTTGGCCATTTTTTTTGTCTGGACACACCCATTACACAGTAAGGGGCAGAGCTTTAGGTGTTCACATGGGCAGGGTAACCCACATTGCTGGGTTGTGATGCTGTATGTGGGGAAGGGGTCTGAGAGAGAACAATGGTGACTGCTCTGCTCTCTGTCAGATTTCAGTCACTTCCCTCGCTGCCCACAAGCAAATTGGGCCCTTCTGGTGCTGATTCCTGTGTGTGGGGAGGTTTGTGTACCTACTAGGACCCTGTGGGTCACTCTAACAAACTTTCCTGTGAGGCTGGGAGTTTCTGCTGCTTCCGTCTCAACCCCCGCAGCTGTTTTTAATCAGTGGTTTAAAGCTTTATTTACAAGCACTGGAAACCTGGGTTGTGCAGTCCATCCTGCTCCCCCTGTTTCACCTGTTTTAACTGTGCAAATGTGGGACTACTTGATCCACTAGTCACTGCCTTGCCACGTGTCATTCCTGCCCCAGCTACTGTACAACTCTACTCATTCTACCGGTCTGGATGAACGTGACTTCTTTAACTCCTTGGTTGTCAGACTTCTATACAATTTGATTTTCTGTCAGTTCTCGTTTTTTTGTTGTTAAATTGTTATTGTCCTTTTGGTTATGCAAGGAGGCACAGTGTGTCTACCATCCTGGCCAGAAGTCCTTAGTTGTTTTGTTTTGTTTTTTATTAAAGTCATTCAAGAGCTCCATGACAATTCAAATTACCAAAGAATGTAATTAAGGTATTTGGGAATCAGACATTAGAAAAAAAATTTTTTTAAGTTGATACAAATATCCTGGCTTCATACATTTAATAGAGTCCCTGAGGCTTAATACATAATATTATAGAAATTATTACTCAATCTCAGACAACATTTTCTATCCAGCCTACTTAGTTTTATAATTAAGTTAAAGGTTTCTGGTAGAAAACAACTTTATAGTTAGGATTGAAAGGTCATGTATACTCTTGACATGATATTATAAATGCTACACAAATAGTAGCTACTCATACTAATCATTAAGGACTGACAGAGTAGAAATGAGAATAAGCTAAACCTAAGCTATTAGTCCAAAGCTAAGCCAGCCTGTTATCTTTGGCAAATTACTTAAAATTTGGCTGAGCCTTAGTTTCTATATTTGTAAAACAAAGTAGCAACACTTGCCTAGTATATGTATCCCAGGGGCCCTAAAATAGAAAGATAAAAGCCTAATTTTTAAAGACAATTAAGAATTAAGACCTTTAAAATAGATTAATATTGATGGAGACAAATATAGATATCTTTTTAAGCTGTAAACCTAACAAAACTTTTCTAATCCAGACAATAACTAATACCATAAACTAAACACTAAAAAGATATGAAAATAATGTCATTTATATTTTCATGATTCCTGAGAAAACTCAAATTCCAATGATGCAAGCAATACTAAATGACATTTACTTATCTATTTTTTAAAAGATTAAAAAAATACTTGGGGGTGGTAAGATGGGAAGGGAGGAAGAAAGAGGCAACATTGATATGCAAGAGAAACACTGATAAGTTGCCTTCCCATGCCCCTCGATAGGGACCTGGCCCGAAACCCAGGCATGTGCCCTTAGTGGGAATTGTACTGGTACAGGCCAGTGCTCAATCTACTGAGCCACAGCAACCCGGGCAATAAATTACATTTAATCTGGAATTTCTATAAGTCCATTCTTTTTTACCACTAACCTAAAATGGAACTTCAAGCTACAGAGGTATAACAGATTTCCTGTTTTGTGGGGTTTATACTAGTCCTTGCATTAAGCACTATGGCTAAGGGTGTCTTATTACTAATCAGGACCATCACGTTAGAGTTATCTAAGCACTAACTTTTTAAAGGAGTACTTCCTAAACCAGGTAGTATATCAGAATCACTGGGATGCTTGTAATGCCTATGCATAGGTCCCATCTGAGACCTATTAAATCAGGGTATCTAGGGGTGTGGCCAAGGCAAGAGCTACCCTAAGTGATTCTGATTTCTAATCAGTAGAGAATCGCTGATGTACAATATATACAATGGTAATAAAATTAAACTAGCCACTTACCTCACTTTACCAAATAATTTCAGTTACAAGATTATAAGTCCACTATAAAGGATTTTTGAATAATCCATTATTCTGATGGAAACAAGGATAATTTTCTAGACTGATGGAATGAGTACAAATTAATTCCTCAGTTACTATCAAATTTGATTTTACTTTCTTCTACTTCCAGAAGACATTTCAACTTAAATATCAGTGAGACACATTTACTCCTTGGTTATGTTTTCATAATAGGGTAAAGAAATCAATGCATTCAAGTTCCGGTAAGTAATTCAAAGACAGCTTTTTTTAGTGAAGTAAATTATAAATATGTCTATAATTGGCAATATTTTAATTACTTATGCTAACAAAATTTTCCTTATTTATTCAATACTAAGGAAATCCAAATTTAAATTTTGGATTAGAAATCCAAATTTAAATTTACTGATCTCTTAATTACAAACATGTATTATACATTCAAACTCTGATTACTAAAACATTACAGAATGCTTTGCTACTTGATTTAAAGTTCTATGTACCAGGAAATAATAAAATGCATTTAAGAATGTTTTATAATTCACAATTTTCATTAATTCAGACTAGTTTCCTTTAAGTTCATCCAAAATTAGGTTTTGTTTTGTTTTTTTTAATCTTTACCCAAGGGCATTTTTTCATTGCTTTTAGAGAGAGAGAGAGAGAGCGAGAGAGAACAAAAGGAAAGAACAATTGGTTGCCTCCTGTACGTGTCCGGACCTGGAAATTGAACCCAAAACCCAAGTATGTGCCCTGACTGGGAATTGAACCCTCTGGGGTAGCTCAGGACATATTGCCCCTCCATGACCTCAGAGAACAGGTGGTTGCCTACTCAACAGCCATGAAGGAGGGAGGAAAACAGTCTGTATCTAAAGTTCCAACTTTCTCAAAGCCTCTGTGTTTATCACAACCCTGTAGCATTTTTACACACTACCACAGCTCATTCTCCACTGCCACTACTTCCTCTCCAACCCAAGTAGCACCAAGGCTGGAGGTTGGGTGTGGTCTCTCTCACCTGACCCACCACCATCAGTGCACTTCACTGTAACATGAGTAATAAATGGCATGTCCACAGCATTTCCATATTTGCTGGTCCTCTGGGTGTTTTTTCAGAATATCATGAATGTAAGGACAACTAACTCCCCGATCTGGATTCCTGCATTACAAACCTGTAATATTTTGATAATCGAACAATCCTCCAACCAACTGAGCCATACTGGCCAGGGCCAAAATTAGGTTTTACTATACTAAAAATCTTGTTTTTTAATTAACAACAACAAAACCTGACTAAGAGCTACAGTATTAAACTAAAAGGCATTCATATAAGACAATTTCGCTTTTCAAGATAAACTAACTTGAATATTATTAGTTTCAAATATTAGGACTGCCTAATCCAGGGCCCATATACTCTTGAGTTCTCCTATTATAAAAATAAAGAACCCCCCACAACACCCCAACACAAAAACAGAAAACGAATCTAAAGGATGTCAATCTAATTTTTCTTACTTGGTCTACTAGAAACCCTACCTCACAGATACCTGGGGGTTGGCAGGTACAGAAAAATATCTTCAATTTATTCTTTTGTTCTTCTGCTTCACCACAGTATTCTCAAGAATAACCAATAAATTAACATCTAGCAGCCTATATAGAGGTATAGCTTTAGGTACAGAGTTTAAATTTGGCACCTATCTTTTAGAATAATTCTCCATGTAGTCACTGACCTATATTCTTATACCTAACACTTTTATAGAAGGTATAATATGCTAATACCAATTCTCTTTTATTTTGTTAATGAATTACTAATTATGTCTTTCAAGCAACACAAAATTATCATTAGATTATTTTAATACCAACAGTTACCACATAGGTTATTTCCACTACTTCTAATTTAAACAGTTCCCTGACTTTCACACACTATCAAAATGCTCATCTAGGCCATTCTTGTATTTTTAATCTGCACTTGGGAATCAGCTAATGCAGAGGGCCAACTTGTTATACGCAGATTTCTACTGCAAAGGTGGTCAATGTCCCTAACCTCCATATTTTTCAAGAGTCAACCATATATAGATTATGGTCTTTCAGGGGGAAAAAAGGCAGGCACAATTCTCACTAGGTAGCACTACCTAAATTATCACATCATCTGATTACTTCAATTAGTTACAGCAAGGCTGCTTAACCATTTTTCACAAGTACAAAATTTCAATATTTATGTAGCCCAGGAGGATGCTAGTGGGTGAATGGGGTTCCCCAGGATTCCAATCTCCTTAAGCACTCCATGATGGAAGGAAACTGTTTTCTTTGAACATCTATAACCTATTCACTATGCTGCTGGTAAACTCATAATTATGTCATGGCAATCTATTTTTGCCTAATTAATTACAAAATTTCACAATAATTTTGACAATATATTTTTTAAAATATACTTTGTAAACTTACCTTGTATATTCTTCTTGTAACTTGTTGGGGTCACTTACAAAAAACTTGACTCTAAAGTTCAAATTGTAAGGAGATCCTCCTAGAAGTAACAAAAGCAGTTCTAATTAATCAGATTATATTAACCCTTTATCTTTATAAAGTATACTTGCAAAACATCAAGTAAATATGTATGCTCACTCTTTAGCTGCTTCCTTATTGGTTTGTTTGGATCCAGCCACCTCTGAAAAATAAAAAAATGAGACTGATTTCATTTTTCTTTCAAGAACTAATATACAGATTCATGTAGATCTGTTCCAGTTGAAGACTAATGAAAAAAAAAACCTGCCTTTTTTAAAAGGTCTATGTAGAAAAAATCATTAACTTACAGATTTTCATATCAAATATAACAAAATTATGTTAGAAAGTACTGAATGTACTCGTGGTGGCTTTAAGAGTTTTATTTTAATTGTACGTCAAATTATACAGTATGCAATAACCTCTATTCCAAAAGTAAAAATGCTTAATAATTACTGTAATCTAATGTGATTTCTGTTAATTTAACTATATTATGTACAGTTTAGCAAATTAAAAAAATTATCTTATCTCATCAAACTATGCTTGGCCTTATGCTCTCATTCAGACAAAATGTACACATCACAAAAATCTACTCTTAAGAAAAATGTTTTAGTCTTGGCCAGGTAGCCCAGTTGATTTGAGTATCATCACATACACGAAAGTTATGGGGGCACATCCCTGGATTATAGACCCAGTCATCACACTGGGTGAATATGAGAGGCAACCAGTCAATGTTTCTCTACCTCTCTTTCTCCCTCCCTTTCCCTCTATCTAAAAATAGATAACTAAATCTTCAAAAAAAAAATCAACCAATGAATGCATAAGTGCAACAACAAATTTCTCTCTCCCCCTTCCCTCTCACTCTCTAAAAAATAAGTAAATAAATTTTTAAAACCGTAACTTCTACCCAATTTCTTAAAAAATAAACTGACTTTTGCCAAGATGGAGGCGTAGGTGGAAACACTGTGCCTTCTCACACAACCAGGTTTAAAAACAACAAAGTTTTAGCAACAAAAAATGCAGCCAAACCACAGAAAATTGAACTATATGGAAGTCTGACAACAACGAAACATTCAGCCAGACTGGTAAGAGGGGCGGAGCCAGCAGCGGAGCCAGTGGGGCAAAAAGGATCCCCTGACCCAGGCAAGCAGGCAGCCAAGGGAAGGTCCCAGGTGTGGGGTAGCAACGGGCAGACCCAGTGAAGGTACAAGGAGGCAGGCTGACCTCAGTCACACATTCACGTGCGCAGATAAACCAGTGAAGGAGCAAGCAGTGAGACAGACCACACAGGCCCCAGCAGCAGGAAGCAGCAGAGGGAACCGCTACTGCTCCCTCTCTGACCCCGCCTCCGCATACAGCCTCACAAACCTGCGACCAGGGTGGCCCCGCCCAAGTGAACACCTCAGGCTAGGTGACCAAACAGGAAAGAATGAAGACACAAGAATTTTAAAAAATGAAGAGAGGCTTAGGAACCTTCAGGACATCTTTAAACGTCCCAACATCCAAATTATAGGGGTACCAGAAGGGGAAGAGAAACAGCAAGTGGGAAACTTATTTGAACAAATAATAAAGGAGAACGTCCCCAATCTGGCAAAAGCAATAGACTTCCAGGAAATCTGGGAAGCTCAGAGTCCCAAAGAAGTTGGACCCAAGAACACGCCAAGGCACATCATCATTACATTAGCCAGGATTAAAATGAAGGAGAGAATCCTAGAAGCAGCAAGAGCTAAGGGGACAGTCACCTACAAAGGAGTTCCCATCAGACTGTCAGCAGATTTCTCAAAAGAGACCTTACAGGCAAGAAGGGGCTGGAAAGAAGTATTCCAAGCCATGAAATCCAAAGACCTACATCCAAGATTGATCTATCCAGCAAAGCTTTCATTTAGAATAGAAGGGCAGATAAAGTGCTTCTCAGATAAGGTCAAATTCAAGAAGTTCATCATCACCAAGCCCTCATTATACGAAATGTTAAAAGAACTTATCTATGAAAAAGATAAAAAAGATTAACAGTGAAAGGACAGCAAACTCACAGTTATTAACAACCACTCCTAAAACAAAAACAAATTAAGAGGACAGCTAGATCAGGAGTGGAAACATAGAAATGAAGATCTCATGGAGGGTTAGCAACAGGGGAGTGGGAGAAGGAGAAGGGGGGAGAAGGTACAGAAAATAAGTAGCATAGATGGTAGGAAGAAAATAGATAGGGGGGAGGGTAAGAATAGTAGGGGAAATATAGAATCTAAAGAACTTGAGACACGTGCTCATAAACTAAAGGGGGGGAATGGTGGGGGAGAGGGTGTGCAGGGTGGAGGGGAATGAAGGGGGAAATAGAACAACTGTAATGGCATAATCAATAAAATATATTAAAAAGAAAAATAAAAACAAACAAATAAATAAATATACAAACTACTCCCCTAAAAGAAAATCGCACTAGTTTTTTAAAAGACCATGTTTAGTTCTGAGAAGGACTGCTTTTTGTGTGTGAGAATTTTTTTAAGTAGCCTCAACACATCAGAATGCCAGTTAGGCTCTCTTTTAGAAAAAAATTAACTGAATTCAGAAAATATTTCAACTACCAACATGTTTCAATTTAAAAAACTAAGGAACTCAAAACAAGGTTATAGATGTGGCAATATTTTCAAAGCATTACACAAATATAAACTTATATATTATTCATAATCCTTACCTTCCATACTTGATTACATGAAGAGCACATAAATAGATAGATAAAATAGATAGAATAGATAGAATAAATAGATAGATTTTAATAGCAAATGGTTGGAAGTAATCCATGTATCTTTCCTTTTCACTACTCTTAATATCCAATATTTGAAATCCGGCTGATTCTACCTTCAACCTGTACCTAGAATTTAATAGTTCTTCTCTACTTAGTCTGCCACCATCCTTATTTCTAGTTTGGCTCTGGCCACAGATTCTTAATTACTATCTTTGCTTCTTTTCTTACCACCTTCTACCTCCTCTATCTAGAAGCTGGAGTACTCTTTTTAAACACAATGTCACTCCTTTGCTTAATATCTCCTGATAATTTATCAACGCAAGGTCCAAAGTCCTTAGCATTGTCTCTTCTTACCTTTTCTATCCCAATTTATTAAGTTCTAGCCATACATGCCTCCTTTCTGTTACTCAATCATGCCATCTTAGGGCCTTCAATTCCACATTTCCATAATACACAGAATGTCCTTCTGCAGCTGTACCATGGCTGACTCCTTTTACTACCTGTTATCTTGGCTTAAATGTTACATCCTCAGAGAGGTCTTCACTGACCACACTATCAAAAGTATGTCACAAAGCTCCTATTTACTTAGTTATTTTCCAGAAACAGGCATGGGACATTAAATTCTCTCATCTAACACTTTTTCTTCATTATAATATGTTTGTTTTACCTTTTTATCACCCATTTCTTTCATTTAGATTATGGACTCCATGAGGTAAGGGATAAAAATCTAATTCATTGAAAGCTGTACAGTCAGCACCTAGCACAGGATGTGGCATGTATTTATTAAAAATATTTTGTGAAGAACTGATTATACCTGCTGAATAACTCAACAAACAGACAAGGGGGCATGGAGTGTTTCTGTGGCAAAAATAGGCCCATTTTCACTCCTGTTTAATAAACTTATTTCCCCTACACAACCACACATTTATCCACCTTCCCACCCATCTATTTATTAATCTAGCAACTTTGTATTTCACATTTTACACTAAGAGTCATAAATTACTTTTACTTTATACTTGTCTAAAATAAAAATTTGAGATTAGTTAATCTATCCAAAGACTTCCTTCCTGAGTTCCCCTTAAAAATATTCTGATATCAGAGATACTTGACATATACAAATAGAGGTGTTAATCTGACATAGTTGAGAAGGAGTACAATGATAAGCACTGGAAAATTTAAGAGACCGCATCAGTGATGTTACCGAGATATGACTTAGGATCTTTCTAGGCTTAAAACAAGAAAATAAAGCAATACTATAATGAGCACCACTAGTGAGTAAAGATACAATTCACAGTAAAAACATATCATTATGTCAAAAGAAAAACAAAGTAGGGAAAAGGAAAACATATAAAGCAGGCCTATAAATCAGTAAGAGAAGATCACTGCTAATGGAAAAACAGACAATAAGATAAAAATAGAAAATAGAAAGTTTACAAGAACTATAAATGGAATTTCAGTATATGAAAAGCTATTCAACCTTGATCATAATTAGAGAAATAGTCTTCATTAGGTTATCATTGTTCAAGAATAACATTGACAAAGATTAAAACTTTTATTTTTTTATTATTTTATAATACATTTTATTGATTATGTCATTACAGTTGTCCCATTCCCCTCCCTTATTCCACTCTGCCTTGCACCTCCACTCCCACCAGCATTCCCCTCCTTTGGTTCATGCCCATGGGTGGTACATATAAATTCTTTGGCTTCTCCGCTTGCTATAATATTCTTAACCTCCACCTGTCTACTTTGCAGACCATTTATGCTTCTTATTCCCTGTACCTTTTACCCCCTCTCCTCCCTCCCCCTCCGTACTGATAACCCTCCATGTGATCTCCATTTCTATGACTCTGTGCCTATTCTAGTTGTTTGCTTTGTTTTGTTTTCTTAGTTGGGTTGTTGATAGTTGTCAGTCTGTTGTCATTATACTGTTCATATTTTTTACTTTCTTTTTCTTCTCAAAGTCCCTTTACCATTTCATACAATGGTTTGGTGATGATGAACTCCTTTAACTTGACCTTTTCTTGGAAGCACTTTACCTGATGATAGCTTTGCTGGTGCTAGATAGAGTATTCTTGGATGTAGATCCTTGCCTTTCATGACTTGGGAAACATTTCAAGCTTCTTCTTGCCTGCAAGGTTCCTTTTGAGAAAACCAACAGTCTAATAAAAACTCCTTTCAGGGTAACTGTCTCCTTTTCTCTTGCTGCTTTTAAGATTCTCTCCTTATCTTTAATCTTGGGTAATGTAATTATGATGTGCGCCAGTGTGTGCTTCCTTGGGTCCAACTTCTTTGGGACTCTCTGAGCTCCCTGGACTTCCTGGAAGTCTATTTCTTTTGGCAGATTGGAGAAGTTCTCCTTCATTATGTTTTCAAATAAGGTTTCAATTTCTTGCTCTTCCTCTTCTCCTTCTGGTACCCCTATAATT